TGTATACAGGGCACTGAGGAGACACATCGTGCTTTCAACTTGCTGTGAGGATATTGTCCTCCGTTCCAGACAACATCAACTTATACTATGTCTCCAACTCTGGGATTTCAACATTTTGGAAGAAAACTCTCTTGGGGTTCATGAACCCCAAAAGACCAGGAATAAATAGACTCTGCTGTAAATACATGAGGTTTTTTAATTGTATACATGTTCGAACACAGGAGGCAAACCTCTTGTGGAAACAGAAGAGGAATGAGGTCCCAAGGTCTAGGGGTACAGAGTTTTTAAGGGAAAAAAAAAACGCAAGCAGTGATGTACATGTTTTGTCATCACATGATTGGATAAATTTGGTATTACATGACTTTTGAAATGATTGGTCCACTTTAGGCGCCAAGACTACAAACAGTTCTGGCCTGGTCATATAGGCTAGTTTCCTAGCAACTGTGTAATTTAGAGATCAGGGAAAGAATGCAGTTAAAATAAGTTCTACCCCTCAGGGCATTACTGGACAAGTCTCCATCCAGCGAACCTTAGTTCAGGCCTTAAACTTTAATAATAGCCGCTTTTCATCTCTCACTCTTATAGTCCGTACTGAAAGAAACAGAACCAATAGCATGTAGCTATATCCATAAATGGGCTTGTTTGAAGGAATTTGCTCATGTGATTATGGAAGCAAGCAAGTCCAAAATCTACAGTGAGGATTGGCAGGTTGGTGCCACCAGGATGAGCACGGAAGGCTCTGGATGAGCATTGGTTCTCACTTCAGGCTCAAGCTGTCCGCTGGGCTCAATTACTCTTGCTTGGAAAAACATTAGTCTCTTAGTCATCAAGCTCTTCAACCAACTGAATGAAGCCAATGATGATCAGTACTTGACATGATCTAGAGCTGTCTAGGAAACAAGCCTCTGCGCATGGCTGTGAGGGGATCCAGCATGGGTTAGCTAAGGTGGGAAGACAGACCTGAGCTAAATATTGAACACCATCATCCCTGGACTGAAATCTTGGACTGAACGAAAAGGACAGGTAAGCTGAGTACCAGCGTTCACCTTTCTCTGCTTCCCGACTGCAGATGCAATATGTCGAGCTGCCTCACATTCCTGCCATCATGCTTTCCCGTCTCAGACTGTGAGTCAAAATAAACATTAACAAAAACTTAAATTGCTTCTTGTTTGGTGTATTAGTCACTTTTCTGTCACCATGATAAAATGCCTTGACCAGAGGCTACATATAAAGAATTTATCTGAGCTTACATTTCCTGAGAGACATCATGGCAGCAGGCAGCAAGTATGTGGCAGGAACAGCTGCAAGCTCACGTCTGGAATGGCAAGCAGGAAGCAGAGCAAACTTAGAATGGTGCAAGTCTTTGAACTCTCAAATGTCATCTTCAATGACATATTTTCTTCAATAAGGCCCATCTTCTAAGCCTCCCAAATAGAGCCATCAATTGGGGACCAAGTATTCAGGTGTCTGAGATTTGTGGGGGACATTTCTCACTCAACTATCAGATATAATAGTTGACAAGTACTGGATACAGTACTTGTTACAGCAAGGAGAAAGGTAACTGTGGTGGTTAGAAATGTTTTGCCACAGGCTCGTATATTTGAATGCTTGGTCACCAGGAAGTAGCACTATTTGACAGGGATTAGGAGATGGGACCTTGTTGGAGTAGGTGTGGTCTTCTTGGAGGAAGTGTGCCAATGAGGCTGGGCTTTTTGGTTTCAAAATCTTCAGTCAGGCCCAGTTTCTTTCTCTCTTCCTTTTGCCTGCAGATCTGGATAGAGAACTTTCAGGCACTCCTCCAGAACTGTATCTGCCTGTGTCCTGCCGCGCTTCTTGTCATGATGACAATGAACTAAGCCTCTGAAACTGTAAATGAGCCCCCAATTAAATGCTTTTCTTTGTAAGAGTTGCTGTGGTCATGGAGTCTCTTCACAGCAATAGAACAGTGACTAAGTAACTACTACAAGGTCCATCACACTAAGGAAGGTAAAACTTCACACTTCATAGGTAAACACAAAACTCATTCAAAATTATCGATTCAGAAATATCCAGAGCAATGCTTAACCAAATATCCTGGTTCTGTTGCCCAATAAAGTAGACATATAATTACAATTCTGCAGTCTCACCAAGAACATTGCTGTCTGTTAGAGCAAGGCACTTTTCTGTACAGGTAGCAGCTTCTTATGCACAGCTGAAATCTAGAAGCCAAGCTGGCTCACATCAACTTGGTTGGACCCACAGGCGAGGAAATTGAGACACAAGGGAGGGAAATGAGCACAAGGGCTTTACTATGGCAGGTGCTAGAACTGCGTGGTGACTATTCAGTTTCAAGGAGGAGGCAGACGATCTATAGAAAGTGGAAAGAGAATGACAAAAGCTCAGCTGCCTCATATCTTAGAGGATGAATGAAGGCAATTGTTCTGCTTGCTTGGAGGAGGGAGGCACTCGTACCGCCCAGGACAGGAACTTCTGTCTAGGAAGTATGTTTCAACTTTGACAAAACTGCAACACAAGCCAAGCAGAGCAAGTGGCATGCTTGTACTGGCTCCAGTGTTGGAGCCCCCAGGAAGAGCTGCCATCACCGTCACGCAAACTCCATGCCGAGGATAAGAAAGTCCATTCTCTAGAAAAGAGATCTGAACACTGTTTGCCTGAGAAAGATGGTTGATAGATGGCCTATTGTTTCAGACAGCCAAATAGATTATCTATTCCATTCCCCTGTAAGAATGATTATGTGGTGGGGTGGCATACCAGCCAGTGACTTCACTCTTCTAAAATCTACCCCTTATCCCTTTACTCCCAACCCTGGTGATATTTCTCCATCTTTTTTTTTTTTTTTCTGAGACAGATTTTCTCTGTATAGCCTTGGCTGACCTGGAATTCTGCAGACCAAGCTAGCTTCAAACTATAGAAATCCACCTGCCTCTGCCTCTGCCTCTCCAGTGCTGGGGTTAAAGGCATGCACCACCACCACCTGGCTAACAGTTCTCCTTTATAAAAGGCTCCTTTCAAATGTGCTGTGCAAAAAAAGAACTAGATCTACATATTTATTGAATTGAGAGACTTGTGGTTGCAAAAGTTACTGTCTGAGTCTTTGATTAGCTCTGCCTTAGGGGTGTAGCCTTACCAGGCCACAGAGGAAGATGATGCAGCCAGCCTTGAAGAGACCTGATAGGCTAGGGTCAGATAGAAAGGGAGGAGGACCTCCCCTATCAGTGGACTAGGGGAGGGGCATAGGTGGAGAAGAGGGAGGATGGGGGACTTGGAGGAGACAAGGAAAGGAGCTGGAGTGGGGATACAAAGTGAATAAATTGTAATAAATAAATATATTAATAAAATTTAAAAAATTAAAAAAAAAAGTTACTGCCTGAGAAGTAGGGACTGAGAAGCAGTAGACTGTAGCAGGAAGTGGTTAAGAGCAAGATTATGTCCAAGACACAGAAGAAGTTCTTTCTCCAGCCAGGCACTAACTTCTACAGTTCTCTCAATGACACCCCCCCCCCGTATTCTGCCACTTGTTAAGTTTCAAACCCAGGAAGAACAGCTGGGGTACCTATTAATTCAGGTTCCCACAGCAGTCTTCAGTTATCCATTATTGGGATGGCTGGTATAGCCAGCCCTCTACCCTGAACTCTCCAGCACAGGGCTGGCCTGCCCTTCATGTAGAGGCTCCTTCTTATATATTCCAGACATTTTGCTTTGGTTTCCTGGTGGCTGCCCTTGATTCCTCCTTCCCACCTTTCCCTTCCCCTCTCTCTCTCCCCACATGGCCCAGCTCAGTTGGTCATGCCTACTCTGGACTCTCATAGCTGTCTGACTCTGGCTTTGCTTTCCCACATATCAATAATAAACTTTCTCCTACACCATACCTAGGAGAAGTTATGTCCTTTACTTTCTGCTTTATTTCTTTTATTTCATCCACCACTAGCTGGGGCCAACTGTCCAACATGAGCCCATGGGAGACATTTTATGTGCAAATCACATTGTCTAAGATTCTTACTAACCCTACAACCCTAGGTATTGTTATTATTCTCGTTTGACAGGTAGGAAAACTGAGGTACAGAGAAACTAATTTTGAAGATCACATCTAAAGTAAGTGGTAGTATTAGGATGAACTCAGGCAGTGAGACATGAGCTCTTTTGCACTTCTGTTCTAAATCACTATGACCTATATATGACTTCAAGGTCACGGGACAGCCATCCTGGTTCTGTTTACCACACAAACATTTTAATACACTTCTTGAAAAGAGAAGTGTTCAAACTGCACAAGAGAATTTCACAAACTTGGCATATCCTAGGAATTCCCTATAGTGCTTAATCAAAACTTCCTCTTGTGGGAGATCTGAATTCAACATTTCTACCTTGAAATCTGGACTGGTAGCAAGTATGAGGGTTGTAGTTCAGTTTAAGGGCTTTTGAGCTGGACAGATTCCATTTTGCTTTGCTTGCCTGCAGTTCTTAGTTTTGAAGAGTTGTGTCCCTCCTTGAGCATAAGTTTCCCTATCTGACAAGTGTAGCCAATGAGTTAGTTATTGAGCTAAACACAAAGTGCTTAGGGCTATGCCCGCTGCACAGCAAGAGAAAACGGTGACAGTAACAGTGGCTCTGTCCAGGCAGTCCAGATGCCTTAAAGGCTCCCGAGATTATGGTAGGTAGTTTGGAAAGGTTGCAACATAAAGTTTAGGGCATAAGGTTGAAATGGAATTTCAGATAAACAAATTAAAAAATAATAACAGCATAAGTATCTCCCAAGTATTGCATGGGAGATACTAAACTTCTTTTTGCTGTTTTTGTTAGTCTGAAATCCCAAATTACGAAGCTGCCCTATGGTTGTCAACTCCAGACCTCAAAGCCTTAACACCCAGTCGGTCCCTGCGCAAGTGGAACCAAGACCTGAGGGGTGGCTTTTCCCTAGTCCCGCCCAGGCAGTACTAGCAGCACCCGGGGCAGCTCCGCCCTGCCTGTCCCTCCGAGCTGAGGGCGGGTTCCAGAAACTGTTTCAGGCGGGGCTGCGGGGCGGTGTGGAGGCGCTTCCTCCTCCCACAGAACGTGCCCTGGCAAGGCCAGAAAGCCGCTCGCCATGTCGGCTGCGGAGGCGGGGGACGTTTTCCACAGAGCCCGGGGCAGGACCCTGGACGCATTTTCCTCAGGTATTGCTTGGCTCTTCGCCCGGGAAGGGGGACTCCAGAGCTGCAGAACCTTCCGCGCGGGGAACCTTTCGGTCGCGGGCGCGCACTGCCAGCCGGACCCCTTCGCGGGTTGCGCACCGCACCGCACTGGGGACCAATGTGTGGGTCCCTCGCAGTGCTGGTTCTTCACTGGCCTTGACCTGACCTTGCAAACAGCAAACAAAACAAAACAAAAAACGGAAGTCGGGTGGAGCTGGCAGAGAAGTGAATAACTGCTTGGGCTCTGCCTTGGGACCAGTTTTCCGACTTCCTCAGTTTCCTCATCTGTAGAACCCGACCACAACGAACTCATGGGAGGCACCTGACAAGCGAGGGATGCGTGTCAGAGGTTGTTACAGTGGAAAGATTGTATTTTATATCCGGCTGTTTATTGTAACAGTAGAGGGGGAAGGCAGGCTGGGTCCGGGTAGCGGTCCTGGACTTTGGTCTTAGATAATCTGGCCCTCTGTCTGGTCTCAAAGGGAGCGTTAGCACAGTCAGAATATTACTGTAACCAAGGGTGGAACATATGCTATAGGTGTTAAGATAATGCTGGGCTAGAGCTGCTCAGAAGGAACGCGATTGGCTCCTGTTCCCCTCTGTTCAGTTGGGAACTTAGGGGTGAGTTTCTCTCAAGCTGTTAGTTTAGAACCACAGGAAATTTTATCTTTCTTGACTCATGTTTACCCTTTCTTACTCAGTTCTCATGCCTCTAATTTGCCTGAACTGCTCTGAAAAAGAAGCAGGCCGGTTCCAAACCCTGGAGGGCCTTGGCACCTGTTCTTCTCTTTCACAGCCCGTTGGGACTGGGAAGTCTGGCTCCTTTTCAACCTTCACATCCTCATTTCCTCAGACTTACTCTGGCTATAGCCAAAGAAGATTAACATTACAATTCTCTGTTAGGCCTTTGGTTCTTTTCCCTCTTTGCAATTCAAGATTTTGCACAGGTTGTGCACAGCCAAAAATCCACTTGTGGACTGGGGAAAAAAAATCTGCGGTATATTTTCTGCAAATTTAATGTGTGTGTGTGTGTGTGTGTGTGTGTGTGTGTGTGTGTGTGTGTGTGTGTGT